TGTGTGTGTGTGTGTGTGTGTGTGTGTGTGTGTGTGTGTGTGTGTGTGTGTGTGTGTGTATAGATAGATTTACATTGAAGCAAGTTTTAATCATTTTGGTACAGTTGTTGTTGGATTAGGACATGTTAGTGGCATTGCGGTGATGCTTGTGACAATTAAAAGCTAATCTTAGCTATTAGCAGACTATGGGCCATTTGGTTTCCTTGAATTTCTTCCTTCCTAATTTCATCCCTCCATCTATTTTTTTACAATGTTAATTGCTTCTTCTTTTATCTCTTTCACACTCTCTTGCTGGGACTGCTGTTCCTCCTCTCGCTTTTCTTCGTGGCTAATGCAAGGAACAGCAGGATCCTGTGACTGCAAAGGCTTTATTTTACTTGTTGCTGGTACTTCTGTTGACTAGTTTCGTTTTCTTTTTATCCCTTAGCTTTTCAGCTCCACCTTTCATCAACCATTTCAACAGTACACTCTGTTCTACAAGGTGCATGAGTACAGAGGAAAGTGTGTGTGTGTGTGTGTGTGTGGGTGGGGGTGGTTGTGGTGGTGTGTGTGCGTGTTATGTTGAGAGATTTGATTGGACCAATGGGTTGCTGTCAGTGCTTGTACGGTCAGTGCGCAGTGACTCTTCAAGCTCACCTGTAGCCTCTTTAATTATATTGACAAAGAAAGAATAACATTGACCCATTAGCCCACAAGTGCAAGATTGCCAGTTCAACCCTGGTACTAAGTGACCTTTCAGTAACACTGGATACGCCTTACAGTGTGTGCCACGTGTTGTGTGTATCTATATGGCCTTGAGCCAGGTGTAGCTTTTAGAGTACCCACAACACCAATCGGGAAAGCAGTCAGTGCCTGTAGGGAAATAGAAAAATATAAGGATAACTACACTTCCAATAGTGGATTTCTAAGTCATAGTTCCCTCACGTATAGTGGGACATTTTTAAATGGACATTTGTCACAGAGAGTACTTGAGTGGTAAACTGACCTAGTTCTTGTGTGGGTTTGAACTAGGGCTCTGCAATCTATCATCTGTGATAATACAAGCATACATTTTTATATGATATAAAAAGTCATATCATTATATCAGTGATACAGTAACATGCATTTATTTTCCCCAGTGCTCAACAACGTGACAAGCCCAGGCTGAACGCCAGCTTAAAACGATGATTTAGTAAAAAGGGAGCTACTTTAACAGCCTTCGACAAAACACACTACAGCATTATTGCAAAATATGCAAAAGAAAAAGAAAAAAGGTAACAGTCAAAGGAGCTTGCAAAGAAAAGCGTCTGGACTTCTTTAAGTTGCTTGAAGACGTTTCACCTCTCATCCGAGAAGCTTCTTCAGTTCTAAG